ATGCCCTGTGGGGGCTGATACTTGCATACACCGCATTCTAATCCTTTTTACTTCCCCTTTCGCTTCCCTCCTTCCTTCATTCTTCCCATCTCCCAGAGGTCTGCTTCCCCATTGCCCACTGTCTATCTTTTATTTTGCTCTTTAAATTATTTATATATTGGGTTCCTCATACAATGGGGAATTGCGCCACATTTAATGTTCTTGGGCATTAATTATTCTAGGCTTAATTTTTATATCAAACATTCACAAATTAGGTGTTGGAACTAAAGTGCTGACCTAGGTCTTTAGTTTACAAAATTTATGTTCTTTTCACAGTACTGTGACAAGTGCTTGTCTTTCTATTTCCCTTATTCAGGATTAGTTTAGGAAAGCCACAAGATTCCTTCCAACTCTAAAATGTTCTTTCACTTGTTCTATAATTTAATGTTTTAAAGACAATCTCAAGAAAATTGAGCTTCAATTTGAAAATGAAGATGACAAGGCTAAAGATAAAGCTGACAATGTAGGCTATTCCTGAAGAGTTTTACAAGGAAGTCCTCCTGAAAATTTGAGAATAGAAGAGCAGTACAATCATATCCTTATAGATTTGATTAAGATGATAGAAATTATATGGTGAGCTGGAAATAGTCCCTTTTATATTCAAATAGGTTAGCTTCTATTCTTTCAGAATTATTCGGAAATGTGTTTCTAAAGATAATTAAGATCCGATTGTTAGAGAGTAGAAAGTGCTTATGAGGGGGCTGGGGATGTAGCTCAGCGGTTCAGTGGCCAGCCTTGCAAGTGCAAGGACCCAAATTTAAACCCAGTACCAAAAAAAAAAAAAAAAAAAAAAAAAAAAAGTGCTTATGAGGATCCCACAAAGGGTGGGGTGAGGTGATGCTGATCACTTGTTAAAATATATTCAGCTACATTGAGCTTAAAGATATTTTAAAATTAATTTCATCTTATCTTTCTTAATGTGGCTACTAGAAAATGTGGATGTGTATGTGGCTTGCATTCTACATTTTTTAGACAGTAATGTTGAATATTGAATATCAGCCTACTTTTTCTTGCTGCCTTGAAATTGGTTTCTAGGATGTACAGATGAGGACAAGAAGAATGCTAACTAAGTTCACATTCTGAAGGAAGCAGCCAACCACTAAACAAGACAATGCTTTAAACTAAGAGGTGGAAAACCACATCCTACTCAAATCCCAATTGCAACCAAGCAATATGCTCCCCAAAGCCATCTTCATGGGGAAGGACTTTCCTCACATTTGATCTGTCCTCAAGCCAAGTGATGAGGTTTGGATTTAGGGTTTGAGAACAAGGGGTTAGACATCCCTGAAAAAGGTGAAGCTATGTATTTTGCTTCCATCCTTTTCTGGATGGTTGATCCATTGTAGAATCTGCGGGTCTCACTCCATCAAAATGCAGAGGAGACTGTGATGAGAGAATTATTGGGAAACCTTGATGCATAAACCCCCAACATGGCTCTTTGGTTAAACACCGAGACCTAGAAACACAGCCTAGAAATGTAGGAGGCAGGAGGATCACAGCAATGTTTTTGCTAACACAAGTAATGATTCCATGATTTGCTTGTGAAGAAAAATTAGAGAAGGGGGTAGAACCTTTACCCAAAGTCTTGTGGCCCTCACAGAATGCAGAATAGAGCCATTTTATTTCCAGGGACCCTTGAAAGGGGGCATGGGAATTAGGGCACAGAGCTTAGAGGGTTGGCTGAGAATCCCAGGCTAGTGAGGGGTTATTCCATTTCACCTTACCAAGCATGACACACTCTCATGCTTCCTCTTCCCTAGTGGTGCTTGCTTGTGGCATGTGTGCATTGTGATGTGTGTGCGTGTGTGTGTATTTAGAGAAATTCAAGGTAGAGGCTGGTGCTTGAATAATTGAATGTTTTCTTTACATCATGAGATACTTCATATTGGGCCAGGGAAAAAATAAACATATTCCTATATATTTTCCTCTGTCACTGCCTATTCAAATGCTGTTTATGGCTGTCCACTGTCAGCAGGACAACATCCTAATCCCTTAGAAGATATTTGATTTGACATTTGATGTTTACCTCCTTTTTGACGTCTCTCATCTATTAACCTGAATCCTTTTGTGTTTTAGCCAAATAGAACAACTTAGAAGCATTCACCTGAAATCATGCTTTCATTCATTCAAAACATATATGTTCTCTTCTTCTTGCACATCACACACTCTCCTGGGATGTTAATGGTCAGGCATTAAAGTCGTTAAGCTCAGGCAGACATTGTTTCTTCCAACACAGAGCTTCCATGGAGTGGATAATATTGCTTTCTCCTGAAATTTTGCCCAGGCCCTTCAATATGGTTCAGTTCCCTTTCCTCCACATTAAATATTACATCCACTGGGAAACCTTTCTTCAGCTAAGAATAATGCTATCTTGCCCCATAGTTTATATTCATTGCCTGATAGAACTTACATCTATTATTTGATTATCTTCCCACCTAGCATGAGATTTCAACGACAAGAGCTGTGTGCCATCTATATTTGTATCCACGACATCTGGCACATAGGGTGCTTAAAAATGCATGCTGAATTGCCTCAATCTTATTGTCTGCTGTTTCATTCTGTCTGTATTTCTTATTTTTGTATTTTCTGTGCGGTTATATAACATCTAGAAACTTGGCAAGGCAAGTTTAGTTCAGAACAGTTACACAATCAAAATATGCTTTAAAGAGGTCTATTCCAAGAAGCACTGGTTGAATGATTTAACATATTTCTCTCTGCATCTAAACAGTGAAGTCATTTGTGCTTTGGGGGTAGAAAGTACATAGCTCCCCAAATTCTTCTCAAAATTAAGGATACACAGCTGCTATCATTTTGAAAACTTAAAAAAAAATCTATTTTCACCATCAGAGGCTCATTTTAATACATACAAAAATAGAGCTATATATAGTTAAAATGACTAAATTGCTCAGTTATAATCACTGAGTCACTGATTAGGGAGTGGCTTACATCTGGGACTTGTCTTGAAAATAAGATTTATCATCATCAAAATGGTTATTCTCCTTTCTTCAGCATTTGTAAACACTAAAGTCATATAAGGTTGTAAATATCAATCTTTTCAGATTTGACACTTTCAAAGCTGGCAGTTGACCTTTGTTAATGTGCTAGTAGGACTAAATTAAGTATGTACATAACTTTTAGAGTCAGGGTGTACAGGACACAGAAACACTAGAATGATCATACCCATCTGAAAGTGGCATCAAAGGAGTCAGATCTCTAATCTCTCTTAATATCTGGTGGCCCAGCTGCCATGGAGACAATGAAGCAGCAGAAGATGCAGGTGGGACCATAAGAAGAGAATCATGCAACAAAGTATCAGCAATTTGCATAGGAAATCTACCAAGTACTAGCAGAATGATGGCCAAGTCGCACGATTAATAAATAGATGTAAGGCCAAATATTTTACACCCTTCACCTCTGCTCTGTGCAATCCTCCTAGATCTCAGAGGCAACTACACAAAAATGTCAAGGAGTGAATCTTGAAATGAATGAGATTTACTTTTATTGCCTAGTGTAATGGACTTGAAATGTAAATCAAGTTGACTTATGTGAAAAATGACATATCTTGCATTTTTTAATTTAGGCACTCCTATGCAGATATACTACACTGTGCATCCAGGTGTGTTTCTAGAATTGAAATTACTGGACTGAAGTATATGTATCATTCACATTTCAGGGGTACTACTAAATTGCCCTCTAAAATTATATATATTTTTATTTTCCTGCTAACCATGTATAGGAGTGCCCTTTGCCTGCTGCCTTTGCCAGATCCTCAATGTTCACTTGCCTAAAATATCTCTTTTAATTTATTTCCACAGAAATAACTCTTTGGTTTGCTTCCAGAAAATCTTGCCCAAAGATAATTGGGTTTAGCTCAATTCCATTCAAATCCGATGTTGTTAGCTCATTTTTATCATCTATTTCTTTCCCTTTGATGAAATGTGTCATAGAGGTAGAGGACAAGGAAACTAATGTTCATTTGGATGCTTACTTTGAATTAGACACTTTACTGATGGTACTGTATTTCTTGTCCTAATGAGCTCATCAAATTTTAAGACAAGCATCATCTACAATTACCTGGGGCCCTTTAAGACATGTAAATTATTGGGAACTTTGTTTTCTCTTTTTGGGGGGCCCTGCCGATAATTCCAATGTAACCCTGAGTTTTAAAATAGCTAGATTATAGCCATTTTATAGATAAGGAACTGTAGCAAAAAGAAGTAAGCAGTTTCTTTAAGATCATGAGTTATTCTTGTGTTTGGCCTAACTTCAAAGCCATTCCAAAGCTTCTTCCTTGTGTGGAAGTTAATTTCAAAAGGAAGTTGCAATGAGAATAATAGCAAATGAATGTAATCCTTGCACTTGGGAGGCTGAGGCAGGTGGATTGGTAAAGTTCAAAGCAAGTCTGGACTACACAGAGAGTTCAAGGTCATCCTGAACTGCATAGCGAGACCTTGTCCCCCCCCAAAAAAAAATACAATGCATAAGATGCAAGATGTGCTGTTATAGAACTCTGGGGAAAATCAACAAGCAGCAAAAATCTATGCATAACCAGGTGATACTAATGAAGAAAACCAGTTTCCCCAAACTGGGAGAAACAGACACTGCCAATATATTAATTGAGCCTGAAATTGACCCCGTGTTTATTATTTCTTTGATGTTCACCTATACATTACAAATACGGAGAGGAGACATTATGCCAGGCACAAACTTATGTCTTGTGGGTTAGAATTACTGTCGTGTTGATAATGTGGCAAAAAAAAAAAAAAAAAGCAGAATCAAACTTGGAAAAAGAAAAAAGTGCTTTTTCCTAAAGTCAAAGTATCTTGACAGGAATAGTTATTAGTCACTGAAAAAATTTTTATTTGCTTGCTTGTTTGCTTGCTTTCTGTTTGCTTTCTTTTAGGAAAGAGAAGATATTACAGGTTTGTGGGTGAAAAGCTTAGATCAAAGAGTGTATGGGAGTGCTCGCTTCAGCAACACATATAATAAAATTGGAACAGGACAGAGAAGATCAGCATGGCCCCTGCGTAAGGATGACTGGCAAATTCACGAAGCGTTCCATATTAGAAGAAGAAGAGGGCGGAGGAGGAGGAGAGAAGAAAGGAAGAGAGGAGGATGAGGAAGGAGAAGGAAAAGGGAGAAGGGAGGCAGGAGGAGGAGGGGAAAGGGAAGGGGAAGACGACGATGACCGAGACAGCGTGCATAGCTAAGAGAGCCCAAAGGACTTTCATTTGGGGAGCGGAGTGAGTTTAGCATGACTCATTACTAAGTACACGGTGGTGCAACCTTTGCCTACCTGCTTTGTGTCCTCGCTTAGAGATATATCTCAGGTTGTGTAGAGAGGTAACTGGCCACCACTTATTCGATCCAATAATGTAATCTTGCAAACAGCATCTAAGAATGCCTCTCTAAGCTGGAGCCTGGGGAGCAGAGGCGCTGAGAGAGGTGACCTTCAGGAAAAGGCCAACAATATAACAACCAGGAAAAAAAAGATCACTTCAAGGAACAGTAATGTAGGTAGCCCTTAGGCATGAGCGTGCGTGAGCACCACCTAGTTATCCCGGCTGGGGGGGTTCACTGCCGGAGTTTCTGAGTCAGTATATCTGGGGCAAGGCCTGGAAGTCAGCGTTTCTAACAAATTCCTAGGCATTACTGATGCTCTAAGATCCACAAGAATAAGGAAAAGATCTGTGTTTAGGAATTAAAACACCTGTAACCCTCTCAAAGTCTTAACATCTAATTGCGGAGTGCCCCAGGCAAATCACTTACCTAATTTTGAGATAGAGTTTTGTTAAATTGCCCAGTCCAGATTCACATTTGAGATCCTCCTGCCTCAGCCTCTCTTAGTGCTGGGATTTCAGATGGGCTCTACCACATCTTTCTTACTCTATTTGATTTGCTAGTTCCCTCTTGTAAAATATGGGTGATGATGACACCAAAATAACGAGAATGTCCCGAATTTTGGGAGGTCCAACTGGGGTCATGCAGGAGTGTGTTTATAAATGTTGATTAATAGTTTGCATTTCTTCCCCTTTGCTTTTATAACTGAAAACAAAAACAAAAACAGAAGTCCCCATCACAAATTTCCTCCAGATGTGCTGTCTGACTTTCTTTGGGTTGGTGTATGCCAAAGTAGTTGAGCATCCTATCCCAGTGACAAATCCTGATAGACAATGTTGATAGCCTAATCAATTGCGGTCCTCTCTCCCTTTTTTCTGGCTAACACAGTATTGATTTGATTTTGAAGTGGAGTAGTTTGTGCTCAAGAAAAAAATAAAGTAAATCCCTCCCTTAGGTAGCCCAAAAAAGAGAATCATAATTGGCCTAAGCCTAGTTTGATAACCCTATCTGTTTTTTCATACACTGAACAAATACTAAGCATCATTGTTGGCCACATGGTATAATGATGATCAAAAAAGCTAAGAGTCTTCAGTGGAGAGTTACTTATTGAAAAAAATGACAAAGATAATTTCCGCCATGAAGAAGACAGACTATATGCAGCAAGACTATATATTTGGAACCCTAACCTGTGCTTGGGGAAGAAAGTGGAAATGGGTACGAAGAATGGGTTTTGTACTTAAGCTAAAAATTATGGATGGATAGGAGCAAAAATGTTTTAAGCTTATATGAAATCTGTGAGATGGGGAAAACTTCATTTATTATAAAAATTGGAAAGACTGGAAATATCTTTTGTGGAAAAATAAAATTCTTTACTTGAATATGAGAAGATAATAGGAAATTTTATTTATATAAGAATAAAATATTTTAAAAGTCAAATTAGTAAAATAATTCTGAACTATTTAATAAATTCATTTTAAATAGCTAATCAACTATTTGTAATAAACTATAACTAAAATAGAATTAGATTCTTGACACCATATGCCCAAATATACTAAAATAAATTCCATATGGGTTGAATATCAAATACAAACTTAAACCGAGATGTTAGAGGATACAAAATGATTCTATCTATCTATCATCTCTCTATCAATATCTATCTATATGCTGAAAATATAAAGAGAAATATTGACAAACAACTTTTTAAAATTCAAGACATTAAAAACATTGTAAACTAAATTAAAAGTAAATCAAAGCTGGGAGGAAGTGGTCACAATATATGAGAAATGTAACGTACTTAATATAAAGCCTTTAAGGAGCTCTAAGAAGATAAGACAAATGTGTAGTTAAGATAATAAAGCCAGGCATGGTGGTGCACGTGTGTAATACCAGCACTTGGGAGGCTGAGGCAGGAGGACCGTTGAGAGTTCAAGACCAGCCTGGACTACATAGTGAGCTCCAGGTCAGTCTTAACTACATAGTGAGCCCCTGTCTCAAAAAAAAAAAAAAAAACCCAAAAAAGATATTAAAAAATGCATGAAAGAGAAATGTCCAGAAATAAAAAAAGTAAAATAATATTTTATTTAACTGCCCAATATCTTTAAAATACTAAATGTGATTCTGAGAGTGTGGGCTTTCTCATATTTTGTTGCTATAACTTAATATAATCTTTTCAGATTATGTTATCAGAAATTTTATTTAAATCTAATGTTTAAAATATGGAATAAACCTAAAATACTGTGCAGTTTTGAGTCAAGAATTTTACTTATCAAGTCCATTTCAAGAAAATAGTCATAGCTATGGGTTAAAAATACAGTATACACATACAAAATATTTATTCATACTTTAAAAATAATGATAATTAAAATAGCCTACCTTTCTAGGAAGGGAGGATTAATTAATTAAATAAATCATGTTAGAGACATCTAAAAAAACCTCACCCCCAAAATGTGAAAATTATTATTGTTAAAATATATTTACAATTTTTGAAAATGGTAACGAAAAGTCTGGGTTTATCTTCTTCCTAAATTTGAATAGAATATACACCACAGTAGGGAAGTAGTTATTTGGGGGCAATAGAATAATGGAAATTCTTTTTCTCTTTTATATCATAAGAATTTTTAAAATTTTCTCTTATTTCTACCTTCAGTGGTCAATTTAAAAACTATGAAATAGTTTAAATATACAGAAAAGTATGATAAAAATTCCAGAATCCAAAATTATAGCACCAAATCTCAGCAATATTTTACTAAATTCATTTCAAATTATTTTCACTTTCCATTTTTAAAATTTTGTTATATTTGGACTCAACTAGTACAAGTTTTACATGTAATCAGAAAGTAACAGGCTCAGAAGTTATTTTCTTACGTAAAACAAGTAAAAATCCTTTTACATTGCGGGAAACAACCTATTCCAGACATTGGCAGTCAGCACTGCGACTTTGGCAAGAGCAAACAATGAAAATGAGTCCTAGCATCACCTGTGCTCCCTGCCTGACATAAATGCATTTGTCATCGTTCTCTTTGGTGCCCTCCTTTGATTTCATTTAATTTATCTCCTTCTGCACTATCCTCAATTTGTTGTTATCGATCCACATAGATTTTCATATTTTTATGTCCATTTATAATATCTGTCTTAGTTCAATCTCCTATAACAAAAAAAAAAACCCTATAAATGATGTGGCTTATAAACAACAGAAATTTATTTCTCACATAGATGGAGTCCAGCACTCACTTTGTGCTCAGGTTCTGGCGGGGGTGCTCTCTGCGTGCAGGCTGCCATCTCGTCCTCGCATCTTCATATTGTAGGAAGTATGAGAGAGCTCTCCCTGGCCTCTTCTAATAGTGCGCTGACCCCATTCATGAGGGTTCCACCCTCAAGATCTAATTAAACCTCTAGCTGCCTACCTCCTAGCAGCATGACAATGAGTGTTACGACTTCAATATGAATTTAGGAAGGACACAACCATTCAGTTCATAAAAGTACTACACTGCATTGTTTGTATGCTTTTATATAGATATGGGAACACTCTATAGTTTTTACTTAACCCTTGTTAAAGTATTTCTCATACAAATTGCTGTACTACTAGTTTATTCCTTTTAATGCACAATGTCCTATTGTAGAAATCTCTGTTAAATTATTCATCCATTCCTGTTTTTTTTTTTTGGATGCTTTGCTCATATTATACAATGAATGAATATTGCTGTTATACAATCACAAGTCATTGAAATTATAGAGCAGTGGTAAAAAAAATTCAATAGTGGAATTCAAATAATACATTTGGAAACATTTTCCTGTGATATGGGAACTGATTTTACTATTAAAATCCAGATACACATAGTTCTTTTTATAGAGATAAATTCCATTTATGATTCATGATAATTTAAAATTCTTTTATCTTTAATTTTCAAGATGCTTTACTTTATAAAATGCCAAAAAAGAATTTGAAAGAAGAAACAGAATCCTACTTTCATCTTTCCCTAATGGAAGTTTCCTAGGTAATCTCTTTTTTTTCCACCTTATCAATACAGTGTTTAGTTATCTTCCCTCTGTCAAACCCTGAGCCAGTCGCGCTCCCCAGGCAGCCGGGGTAAGTGTATGGGAAGGACCGTGTAAGGCGGAGGAGACGTGGAGAAAGAACTCTGTGAGGTGGAGTCAGCAGCTCCATGGCCAAGAGGAGGAGAAAGGCCACCATCAGGCAGAAGAACCGCATGGACTCTGAGAGGCAAAGCCCGGAATGACATAAAAGAGCCGCTGCTTCAGAGAAGTGCTCCTGGCATAACCACAGCTGAGGCTCCCAAACACAGTCCCGATCCCAGCCCCAGAGCCAGCCACCCCAACAGTGGTAACCGCAGCCCCAGTGAACTTGGCTGCTGTGTCGAAGTCCCTTGAAAGGATGCTGCTTTGGAAGCCGTGGCTGGGGACGAGTGAGGTCAGGGCACGAGGGACTGCAAAGCAGCTGAGGCTCTTTGCTGGCGGGTGTCTTTGGTCTGTCCAACAGGACTTCAGGTATCTGTGGTTCCGCAGCCGGAGGTGCTCCTGACCAAGGATTGGGTGGGCACAGATCTGGAGCAGGCTGCCCTTTCAGGGGGTGAGGGCCACAGCAGGAGAGCTGCAGGACGAACTCCAGTGCAGAGCAGACCCTAGTGACCTCATCTCTAACAAGGGCCGTTTTAGCCTTGTTTAAAGTCAACTGAATTTTAATGTGCAATTCACCATCAACGTTTCACA